GATGTTTATATTCAAAATGATCATCATATTGTAAGAATTCCAGCAATGTAAATTATATTCTGGTCCAGTAATTTGTATGAATTTTATGAGCTAAAACAAATATCTTCAGTTAATAAAAAAAAAAAATATTCTTCACGACACTATCTGTCAATCAAAGTACCCCAACTTGCCTCCCCCCCCTCTTCCAACCCGCCAGATGGTCGGTCGGTCCCAACCCTCCCCCCACCTTCCCTCCCTACCAGAGAAATGTTGGGTGAAAAAACTAATTTTAACTTTTAGTAACAAATAATACCTCAGACTAAAGTTAGGATAATATAATTGACATTGCTGGATTCCTTGTAAGACCAAGAACATTTTGAATATAAATGTCATATATTTTGCACAAGAGATAACATATTTACTCAGAGTAAACATTAGATCTAAAATTTGTATGTCTAATGCAAAATCTATGATGTTTATATTAAAAATGATCATCAAATTGTAAGAATTCCAGCAATGTAAATTATATTCTGGCCGGGTAATTTGTATGAATTTTATGAGCTAAATAAAAAAAAAAAAAATTATACTTCACGCGTATATGGGTAGATGAACCGCGGAAAGTGAAAGTTCGGTTCTGGCGAGGCACCGCGTATATGAGAAATCCCGTAAAGTGAAACCGCGTAAAGCGGGGTAATACTGTATACATATTTTTACCCACAAATTATGTATCAGTAAAACTACATTGTGCAAAAACAACCTTTTAAAAGATCAGAATCACATTGAAATATTACACGGCCGTTAGCCGATGCAGGAAACATGGTTGCGAACAACTTCGCCGGCACTGCATACTCTGCTGGCTAATTGGTATGGCGTATTTCAGGTTGAGCTAATAGTGTGGGTAAAAATAAGTATACAGTCTCTCCTCGACTTATGACGGGGTTCCGTCCCGACGACCAGATCATAAGTCTAAAAGGCGAAAATAGAAATACAGTATAGTCTTCATTTACGCGGTCAATTGAATCCGTGGAGGTCTGCGTAAAATGAGAAACGCGTAAACGAAATAACAGAACATATGGGATTAATTGAAATAGAGACTGGGCCGACTCCCAAACTACACTTTTTCCGACACGCATTGTAGTAAAAATAAAACATCTTAATTTTATTATGGTATGCACACACAATTAATATTTAAGAGAAATACAGTTGCAGGTTAATGTCCATTCAAATACTGGACTCAACCCCCCCTCCTCTTCCCATGCTCGCTGACCTCTCCTCCCTCCCAGAGAAATGTTTGGGAGAAAAGACTAAGTTTTCATGTTTAGTAATAATTAATACCTCAGACTATGCTTAGGATAATATAACTGACATTGCTGGATTCCTTGCAAGACTGCGAATAATTTGAATATAAACGTCATATATTTTGCACAAAAGATAAAATTTTTGCTCTCTAATAAAATTCTTAAATTAGATCTAAAACTTGTATGTCTAATGCAAATATTAGGTTGTTTATATTCAAATTAATCACCATCTTATAAGAATACCAGCAATGTAAATTATATTCTGGCCAGGTAATTTCTATGAATTTTATGAGCTAAAAACAAATATCTTCAGTTGGGCGACAATGTGCGCACCCTGCCCGTCAGCTTCCCGCGTAAATGATGGAATGAACTGTGGAAATAAAATTTGTTGGTCTGGCAAGGTGCCGCGTAAATGACCAAACGCGTAAACCAAATCTGCGTAAATCGAGGGCGACTACTGTACAGTAAAAGTAATCAATAATGAAAAATTAATAAAGTGTTACTGTGCACTTACCTTTAATGTAGTCAGCTGAATGCACACGGGGCATCAATAATGCTTAAATAATATAGAAAATCTAAAATGGGTGTCTCTTTTCTTCCTGCACCACAAAACTCTCACTTTTAAGCTTGCCAGCCATTTTAAAGTGAATTACAAATGAAAATTTTGTCTGTGTACTGACGTTGGGACTCAAAATCGTAATTTGACAAAATTTTGGAACTGGGCGAATTAGAGTAAGTCGGGGAGGAGCTATAATTGAATTGTAATTGATAAGTACATGACTTGAATTAAATTGAAATTGAAATATCTTTTTCATAATTTGAACTGAATTAGAATTGATAAATATATATTTTGTAGAAACTGAGTTTAAATTGATAAAACGGAATAAACCCCATCCCAACTCATTGTCATTACACTTACAATATTTTCAGCCATTAGGTAAAAACAGAACAGGATACCTTTGCTCACCACCATAGACCCAGGGTGCCAGGCCAGAAAATGCAGCAGGGACCAGGGGATGGACACAGCTCTGGTGACCCAGATGTGATAAGGTACACTGAAGCCAAGTTTTACAGCTGGATGCTCTTTCCAAATCCAAATCAGAGAGTGGGAACAGCTGGCAAGGCAGGGTCACAACTCCAAGAGATAATCACAGACTCCCTGCTTACCTATTAAGAAAGGTAAAAAAAATAATTTGCATATAACGTTGAACTTTTTAATTTTA